ACAGCCAAATGGCTGATCGGAATTGTCTTTGAAGGGTTTGGGTACCGCGGGAGTGTGGTCGCAGACGCAATGGCCTTCCCCACAATAAGTTAGTAGTGAGTACGGATCACGCGATGACGTTTAAGCAATTCAAAATCCCCAACAGACGACGTTCTGACTTGCGCTTGCTTGCACGGTTGACTGGCGAACTAGCGTTGTCTGGATTCAGCGCTTTGTTCCCAGCTAATCTTTGTAACGCACTACCGTATCAGTCACTGTCCTCTGGCCAATTCCGGTCTGCTCCTCCCGCGCCGCACTTGCCGTACTACACTACAGGACGAGCACTTAATCAACATGCACTGACTACACGACGGGCGGAACTGAAGGACACAATGTAATCCTGTCTATGCTTCAAATATATTTAGGGCTGATAAGTAGGAACGACTACTGAACAATATGTGTGTGATGACAATTCCGCAGCTCGACTGACACTAAAGTTGTACCTGGCATGCTCCTCCTTACCACCATGCAGCGGTAATCATGCACAGGTTCTCACTTTACCTAGCTTGCCCAAGACATAGACTGCAGGGCGACCGACAGGCGGCGCTTGTGAGTTGTTTACGTTTGATGTACGGCAGTACAGCGTATTTCATGCTGGGACTTTAACGGTTTCATGACGAGATCGGCCTGCACTCCCTTCTAGCATCATTGTTTTTGAATCAGCTCTTATGCCAAAACAATGTACCGTTCTGGGGCAAACAGCCCAGCTGCTTCCTATTAAAATTCGTCAGCGCATCGCCGGTATTAGCCCGAGGCCCAGGAACATAGTAAACGATTGTCGCATTTATACATGCTTGAAAGCCACAACTGGAATGGACCTTGGCAAGGAAGGCATCATGCCACTTGTGGAAGATGCAGTCGTCTGGTCAAACCAGCATGGCTTGGTGAGTTATATCATGTGATCACAATTAACCTGAAGCTGACGCTATTATTTGGCGTTGCTGTACTTCGGATGTACGGGTTCCTCTGTGTTTGCGCGCGCATGCCGTGCCGCACCCTCGCAAACCTTGCGGCTTGCCCAAGTTCAGCCACATAACAAGGGCACCCTAAGAGGCTGTGCGTCACCAGCTTTCCGTCCTGTGCATCAGCTTACGAATGCGCCAAAGCCACAAAGCATGGTGACATGTACGAGCACCGTATCCCCGCTAAGCACGCTACCCGTACATTATATTACTAAGCAGCCTAGCGTTTTTGCTTTCCGAGCTGAACCTCTGCGGCCACTTTGAAAGCTGGCAGCAGCTAGAAATGCGATCTCGAGGTGATTAGTAAGTCAAGAACAACGACTAAGTTGCAACACGTGTTGGACAAATTGGGTGACAAAATGCTATGCTGAGAGATGTGGAAATTTTCATGGAACGGCGGAGTATGACGAAATGTGTCGCGTTGATGATTTATCGGTGTCGCCGGTGTGATGATGTTATCTATGACGTGGTTTGCATCGGGGATGGGGGTGCGCGCGGGGGTGTCCATGTCAATGCGGTGGCATGCACATGCAGGTGGTGGCTCTCAAGGGTGACGAATTCGTCAATCCCGACTTCGCCGTCATCCACGCGCCCCTGTCGCTCACGCCTGTGGTGTACCCGCGAGCCCGCTTCAAACTGGCACAACAGGTAACAAGTTCGTTAATTGGTTGGATAATTGTCGTTAGTTCGTTGTTCGTTGGTGCGTCATGACATTTAATCGACCTGCCATAAAATTATACTCCATAATTTTATACTCTACAGATTATCTCTCCGCACTATCTTTTTAATTTGCATTGCTGTTGTCATTAGGACTTCAGAAATCGCTGTATGTTGTACTGTCGCCGTACACTGCCCTATGCCATCGTCCTCAGGTGATGCCGTTATTCAACCGTTTAGTTGACGCCGTCGCTGCTGACGAAGACTACTTGGAGGGAACGCTCCGCCACGCGGCGCAGTACGACGGTTTCACGGGCCGCCTGTTGGCAGTGCTGCACGCGACGCGTTCGACACGTGACGAGATGCGAGTCGCGGGGCGGAACGTCGTGCTAGGTATCCATCGATCTGACTACATGCTCGACCAGCCCAGTGGCAAATTCCTTCAGGTCGGTTCAATTTAAAGACTTCATGCAAGCTCTGATAAAATTAGGTAGGGTTTTAATCGACGGATTTTGACACCGGTTTGAGGTCAGAAAAAGAGAGGTGAAGGGATATCGCGATGGAAGCGTTTGGGTAGGTGTGATGAAAGGAAGAATCGTAGTGTGGAGGTGTTTGGGGCCCTTCCTCCAGGCCCCGCGCCCGCCCGCCGAAGCCCCTCTCCTTCCTCTCTCTCTCTCCCTCTCTCTCTCTCTCTCTCTCTTTCCTTTTCTCTTTTTCTCTCTCTTTCTCTCTTTCTCTGTTTGTCTATCTATCTATGTGTCTATCTATCTATCCTCCTCCCTCTCTCGTTTTCCCAGCCCGCTCGCCCGTTTGTATGTTCACTTCGGTTTCCTTTCGTCCTCCCCCCTGGACTCCCCACATTGCCTAATCAGGTGGAACTCAACACAATCGCGTCCTCTTTTGGCTGCCTCTCAGCTCTCATGACTCGGCTACACACCTACATGGCCAGCAGGATCACCTCCTTGGTGGGATAGACGACCAGTAACTGTCTCGGGCGTCGTTTGGCGTCCAAAATTGGTTGTTTCGGTTGATCTCGTTGCATCTTACAGTAGCATCTGGTTGTTGCTATTGCAGTGCTTGCTTGCTCGGTTGATGTGACCATGCGTTTTGTTTTTTTGGAACGGTTCTATGGTATAGATTTGTTGTATTCTCAAGCCCACCGCACTTCCCCTGCCATGCTTTATCATGTGGCAATATGTCATAAGGCACCGGTGGCACCGGCACACCGTTAGATGGCAACTGAAGTTGTTGCAAAAGAGCCTAACTTTACGTGAAGGTTGTATAATGGCACGACAAAATGTACGGCAATGTATTCTTATGGTACGGCACGCTATATTACGACAGGATCCTGCGCGTCTTCCCGCCAATCCCACCCTGGAGCATATCCCGGACGCCATCGCCACCGCCGCCACGGCGGTCGGGTTACGGGAACAGGGCGGCGTGGTGGTGATGGTTGTACAGCCGGGTGAACGCAACGCGTACGACCAACAGGTATAATGTACGAACGTACAGCAAGGGGCTTTGGCGGGGTATAGAGCCCAGCCTTTAGTAGCCTGTATGGCCATTTCCGAACTCCTAACTTACAACACCAAGTAACGAGCAGACTTTCGGATGCGGTATTTAAGGTTTAAATTTGGTAAAATTGATATTTAAAGATTTCCTGGATCTGGAACTGGATCTGATTGCAGTGGATCCAACTTGGCCTTTGGGAGCGTCACCGTCTTCGCACCGTCCGGATGACGCTGGGAGACATCGCCGCCAGCGCCAAGCTGGATGAAACCACGGGCACCGTAACTCTGGCGAACGGTGCACCGGTTTGCGTGTTCTACTTTCGGTAGGTTTGCACGGCCCTGCGTTGATCCTCCGCCCTTCGTTCCTCCGCTCCGTTCCTGGACGGTACGGAAACAGGACTGTGGCGGCCTGTGGCGCGCGGCATACGTGAGATGTGTCTTGTGCGCGTATCCTATCCCGCCTCTCCACCTGGCCGCCATGCCTCCACCTGCGCGCTGCGTCTCCCCAGTGCGTTCGTCGCCACTGGGGGACCGCTGCGGTGCGTTCGCCTGCCTGCCTGCCTGCCTGCGTGCCTGCCTGCCTGCCTGCGTGCCTGCCTGTCGTTCCCCTGATATCCCAAATGGAGTCCAACAACTGGGGGCGACTGGGGGCAACTTCCTCTCTCTCTGGGAGTATCGGCCGCGATTTGGAAAAGCCCTTCACTTTTGCATCACTTGCACTTGGATGACTTTACCCTCTAGCTGGTGCGCAAGGAGACTTAATGTGTCGGCAGTTGGTCATAACTGATTTGCGTTCCTGACCGCGTAACTGCCTTAACTAACTGTAACTACTTGGTCTCAGAGCCGGTTACACTCCCGTCGACTACCCAACTGAGGCGGAGTGGGCTGCGCGCGAGCTGATAGAGCGCAGCAACGCCGCAAAGTGCCCCACGGTGGCGTATCAACTGGCAGGTTCGTACAGTACGTACATAGTACGAAAGTATGTACGTACGTACGGCATAGTGTTAAGTACGGCATTCCCGGGGTGATCTAGTCCTTTGTAGGCCTCTTTTTTTATAAAGCATGTATGTATGACATGGCATGAATTTTGATTTGGAGGATGTAAGATGTAAGGGGTGGCCGTGCTAACGGCGAAAGCTATCCCGCTCGTGGTGCCCTATAGTTACAGTACTTATTTGTTAAGTGCTCGTCAATTTCCGCCTTACTGTCAGGAACCAAAAAGGTCCAGCAAGACCTAGCGGGACCGGGTGTTTTGGAGCGCTTCCTGCCGGATAGTCGCGACTCGGGGTTGCTGCGGGAGTTCTTTGCGGGGCTATGGTCGCTGGACCCACGCGACTTGACCACTGACCCAGGGGTCGCTGCGGCGGTGGCAGACGCGGTGGCGCGCCCAGAGGCATACGTGCTGAAACCTCAACGCGAGGGCGGAGGCAACAACCTGTACGGTAGGTCCATTGTCGTACTACGTCTGGTACGGATTTTTAAACGACGCCAAGTTGTTGTTTTTTAAGTTATGCATGTGATGATACTGGGATTGCTGAGAAACCCCTTGGTCGCTCAGGTGAGTTAAATGTGGGCATGACGGACGGACCCATGGGTCACTCATCCCAGGTGAGGAGCTGCGGGCGGCACTGGCGGCGGGTGGCGAACAGCTGAGCGCCTACATCCTCATGCAACGGATTTTGCCGCCTTCCAACCGGTGGGTGCCTAGGGTCGCTATAAATTCGTTATGCCCCTAAAGTTATAGATTAGTAGGCGTTAGGTTAGTTTTAGGACCTCTTCATGCTTAAGATGATGACTTCAGGGTTTTTCATTTTTTTCTTAGAACTTTTCGCGTGCGCATGCGCACCGTTGGGCTTAGTCGTCATAGCGACACCCGCTACCCGCCAGATGAGCTTCCGGGCAATTGTAACGGTAACTGTAACCACAAGTAACGAAACCGTAACAAACGGCAACTTGCAAAATTCCAACTTTCTTCCTCCCATCCTCCTTTTCCCTATGTGGGAACCTAGGTCGATCCTCGTGCGGAATGGACAGTGGTCGGAGGCCGAGACACTCAGCGAGTTGGGCATATACGGAACCTTTGTTCGACATGGGGATGCCGTACTTCGAAACCAGCAGGTGCGCGAGGATCATCACCTTAGGTTGTGTGGGAGGGCTGTCAGTGTGATCGGCGTAAACACGATTTCAGACGCACGTGGGCGCACGCAGGATGTTGCTGTTGCTGTTGTTGGTGGTGGTGGTGTGCAATCCTCGCTTAGCGACGCGCTTAGGGATGGAGGGACCTCGCCATAGAAAGAGGCGTATGTAGATCCGGAGCTTGTGGCGCGGAAAACATTACACGAGCGCTTGGCAACGCGCGCGGCTTGGATGACGTCTTTCTCTGCCAGTACGTGCACGGCCTGTTGATCCTCATTTCGATTCCCGCTCCGAGCTGCTTTCTTTCCGCCGTCCCCTACTACCTCAAGTATCAAATGTCATTGCTTCAGCTTGAAGGTCGTTCTTTTGATGCTCCCTTCCGGTTTTGTTTCCCGGTGCCCTGGCCCGTACCTGTGCCGGTGCCCTCCCCCGTCCCCCTTTCGATTTCCCCTCTTCCCCTCTTTTGTTTTTTCGAAAGAGCGGCCACCTCGTTCGGACCAAGACCTCCAGCTCCAATGAAGGCGGCGTGGCGGCAGGGTTTGCCGTACTGGACAGTCCGTACTTGGTGGATTGAGTGGAGGTTGTATGAGGAGGCGGCGGGGGCCGAGGGGAAGAGGACGGTACGGCGGCGGCAGCAGAGGCAGCGGTAGAGGCGCCGCTGGCGCAGAGGGCCTTCCGTCGATACCGGTACCTAATCGGGATGGTCTGCTTCGGTACTCGCCATGTACTCGCGTGGCGCTGTTTGGTGTCTGGTATTGATTGATGCATGGAATGTCCATTCCATGCAAATCTCGTGCGCGGTTGGATGCGATGTATCGGGGATAAATTTGCGGTGTTGAGGAGGGGATGTATGGCCCCTTATGAGGACACGTAGGCGTGCAGGGGACGAGACCGCGTCCGAAAGTGCTTTCAAGGTTTCGTTGTTCTGGTTTCGCTGGAAGGTTGTTTCACAGGTATGATTAACATGTTATATATGACAAAGTCAGTTTGTAGGGCCAAGGAGGAACGGGAGGTGTGTCGATGTGATCACCGAGCCAGTTGCCATCTCGCGCGCGCGCACTTTTGTTTTTGATGGGCCGCGGCGCCGACTCGGAACGCGGGAGATTGTTATCGTGTACCCCTGATTGGACGAGCGAATAGTAAGAAAAACGCGCTAGCAGAAAAACGCGTTCGCATGACTCAGTGCATATTTAGAAACTTTAATTTGGCTTAGGTCGTGCATGAAGTGTCGGGGCAAAAGAAACAGAAATTCACATGTTAAAAGTAAAAGGCGCTGATGATGTGCAGTAATCGATTATGCGATAGCCCCGCTCGCGAGGACGCATCCATAGAGGGTGATCATTAAGAGCTGTTATAAACATGGCTCGCTTAGGGATTGGTATAGGCGTCGTTTGGACGCAGAGCGCGTCCCGGCGTATGTGCACCCAGATATGGACGAATCGATGCCGACATTACGCCCCGCTTATGTCAACAAATGGTATTATAAATATAGTTACGATCCTTACATCGTAATTTATGGTGACATCATCTACATTTTAGCAAGCACGGCGGGCGACCGGGTCTCGCGCCTTTTAGCGCGATGTCGAACTACGCGCGCCTTTTTTCAGCAGGTGCTCAGTTGACTCATCACCATCCATCTGTGTAAAAAGTGTACCGACGGCATAACCTTTTGCCTTAGTATGTCATGCAAATTGCATGTGTGGATACTTCAAGCACAAAGCGCAACGGTTCCACCTTTCTTTATAACTGGAGTTCAAAGCAATAATAAATGTCAGATCAGCGTGTCCTATGTTGCTTTCCTGGTAATGGCTGGGTCACACTGTGACAGGTGTGACTGGCAGGGGCATGTCAGGCAACGGATGACGGAGCGAGTCAAACCCCATTTTCACATCAATAAGAACTTTGCAATGAAAACCAGGTATAAAACTACTACCCTTAAAAGGCGAGGGATTATGTTCTGAAATCTTTATTGCCCACTCAAGTCCTCCCGACGGTCAGCGATCAGACCCATCGACGACAATGGAGTATTCAAACATGTCATTCAATACATCGTACGTGAATGAAATCAGTGGAAGTTGAGGCGCTTGAGAAGAAGATGACATCTCAACACGACGGCAACAGTAACCCATGCTTGAGACATGTCGGTGCAACCTTCTTTTGTGAATCTGTCATGTTCTACACCTAACATTTCGTCTCGCATTGCTAGCCGCAAAAGGTGTACGGTACCCGGCCTTGCAGTCTCTGAGCCTCCTATCGTCAGCACGACTTAAGTTGCTTAGAAGCAATGCCATGACAACCCTCTCCGTGCGTAGCTGTTGGAAAGTGCTCTTAGGTACACTCAGGCTTGACACTTCGGTAGTTTGATTAGTTGCCGTTATCCCAATACGACATCGGATCAGGATTGGCTACGGTATGCTTATATACTGCTTGCGTATCCTTTCTCTCTCTCTCCTTGTGTAACGATATGAGCGAGTGATGTGTTCACTGAAGGACTCTTATCTCTAACAGGTTATGAGCCCCGCGCTTTAGCGTGCGGTCATCCGTTTGCCCGGTGGTGCCTTTTTCTGCTGTGTGCGGACTTAGCTGTAGGCAAGGATGAAAATAGATAAGGAGGATTTTTATTTCTCCATTAGCACCTTTCACCTCTTGAAGGAGCACGTCATCGGCGTCCTTCAACGTAAAGGACTAGCGAACGCGATCAGCCCCGTGCAGGCTACGCGGGATGTAGTGACAGACGAGCAAGACCAGCGAGCTTTGGGCGTTATCAAGGAATTCATCCGCGTCCTGGAGAAGCCCCTGTACGCGCGTCACGCGAAGGCGTACGACCTGTGGCTTGCTTTGGCGGCTAAGTATGGGCAGCAGACTCGAGCTGCGAAGAGCTTATTGGTTCAACGGTTGACNCAATTCAAGATGGAATCGAGCGAGACGATCAGCGATTACATCGCGAGGTTCCAAGCGCTTCGACTAGAGTTCGCAGCCATCGATATTAGTTTGGCGGATGACGAGGCGGTGGACCACGTCTTGAGGGGCCTACCTGATACGTATGCCATGATCCGCACAGTTATAGAAAATACTACCGACGTGGACGACGTCGAGAAGCTGGAGATGCGGCTACTCGTCGAGGAGCAGAAGATTGATACGGAGACCAAGAAGTCGCCCGTGAAGGGAGCCTACAACGTCGCGCGGCAGGCGCCACACAAGAAGAAGGACAACAGGAAGTGCTTCTACTGCAAGGAGCAGGGCCATTTAGTTGCCAAGTGTCCGAAGCTTAGACAGCCATATCCGCCACCACCACCGCCGCCGCCGCCGCCTCCCCCTCCACCACCTCCCCAGCCTTTCATGCGCCAACGACAACAACAACCGCAAGTGCAGCCGCAGGCCCAGGGCGTGCGGCGGCGACTAGTTGGCGTCATAAACACGCTTGGGGGAATGAGACTGGCACCTGGTGAATGGCTTCTCGACACTGGAGCCGAGGATCACCTGACCTTCACGCCTGAGGACGTGGAGGGTCTGAAGCCGGTGCGCGAGGGCGAGGGTGTCGTTTTTGAGGTGGCGGATGGGCGGACGGTTAGCTCGATTGGTGAGGGCAGGGCGGTTTTCGCCTCTTTTCGAGGGCAGACGGAATTGTCGGTACCTGTACACGTAGTTCCGGACCTGCAACACCGCCTGTTCTCAGTCAAGGCCCTGAAGAGATCCTTCCCGGATCAGGTGGTAGAGGTTGTCCTGTCCGCCGATTGCTCGTATATAGCAATAGACGGAATTCCCGCTGTCGATGTGTTCGAGGAGAACGGGATGTACATCGTGCTTGCGCAGCCAGATGCCGAGTGGAATAGGGCATTATCACTGCATCGCTTTCCCAAGGAAAAGTTAGACACCTTGCATCGTCGCATGGGGCATGCTAGCCTCACCCGTTTTGATAGGCCGTTTTTTGACGACCTGGTCCATTCGGAGCCCACATGCCGCGAGGAAAGCCTTCGTCCGGAGAGCAAGGTCTGCGAGCCGTGCGTTATGGGAAAAATGACCCGCAGCCCCCATCATTCATCGACGCACAAGGGCGAACGCGTGCTCGACCTCGTCCATATGGATCTTTGCGGCCCGATGCCGGTCACGTCGCTGGGTGGAGCCAACTACTTCGCTACCTTCTACGACGATTTTAGCAAATACTCCGAGGTTCGTTGCGTTCGCGCAAAGAGCGAAGTCCCCGCTGCGTT